GATAATAATAATAATAATAATAATAATAATAATAATAATAATAATAATAATAATAATAATAATAATAATAATAATAATAATAATAATAACAATAATAATAATAATAATAATAACAATAATAATAATAATCCAAAACCTACCTGAAAAAAGGCACAATGATGAGAGAAAAGGAAATTTCAGATGTTTAGGGTTGCAAACAGCTTTCTCTGCTAATGACTTCTGATGATTTTTACTGACAACTAAATTTCACCCAAAACATCTATCTGGTCTCCTTCTCAGCTTTGATAATTTTTTTTTCTTAAGCCAAAAAAATTTTCACTCTTTAAATTGGTTTAGCTCAAGGACAAGGCAGCCAAAAGACACAGGCTACATTGGTCGTATGGCCTAGACATGGACTTGAATTAAAATATTAACCAAATCTGGATACGCATCTGTATTTTACTTGCATTTTAGTAAGACAAGTTCTCTCAAATTCAAAAAAAAAAAACTGAAGAGGACTGACCATAAATCCAGGGCTTGCAACACAAATATGTCCCAAGGTTATCGAAGTATATCTATTTTATTATCTATGCCAGAATCTGTTTGAGGACTGATTGATGTTAATTTAGCTTGGTTCAACTATACCACATCTAGCCTACATAGTTATGAGTTAATGTAAACTGAGATCTACTAGTTGTGAGCTTAACTGTACCCAGAAAGCATCCCAACCAGCAGAACTAAAGCAGATTTCAATTAAATTACTACAAATTACAGGTAAACAAAGACATAGTTTACAAGCTTGGGAACCTCTGACTGGCTGCTTGTGCTTAAAAAGAAGTGGGTAAATAAATGGGATGAATGGTTGCAATTAGAACTTTAGCTAATGAAAAGGCAAAAAAAAAACCCCAACAGAAGTTTACATCTGATGTAACTCCTACTTTACAACTAGTTAGACAAAGCCTGAAAACAGCAATCACTATTACTGGTAACATTCACTGTCAGAATAAAAGAAGTTAAGGTCTAGGAATTAAGTGAATAAAATGTAACAAGAGCCAACCCCACAGAAACACAGAAGTCAGATAATAATGGAATCTTCCATTAAAAAAATAATGTTAAAAGGGAACTGCCTCAGCGGAGAACTACTAGAGTGTGGAAGGCTTGCATTCAAATTAGATCTTTCCAATTGCAAACATTGACTCATGCAAATTAAAAATACCTAACATCTCAAAACAAAATACATAAAAAGGCCATTATATGGTTGTCATTCTGTTCAGTTAAATGTTTTTCAAAGATCAAAGAACCACACCGGCTCATAGCAGCAGGGGTTCAAGTTTATGATTTCTACTCCTCAGTGTAACTAAATGCAGCTATTTCCCCTGGCAATTACAACTAATTTATATCTTATGATGTTTCTCTTTTTATTCAAGTCAAGAGATTAGCTAAAAAAGATGTAAGTACAAATCTGGGAATTATTTTATTCAGCTGGGAATCAAGTGAAAACAGAGAGCAAAAAATCATGTTTAAGGATATTGATCAAGCTGACTATAAAACACTGGCTTGAATTTCCAGGATTTGCCAAAAACAATGCTGATGTATTATGCAACTTCTCTTCAACTACATGCAAAAAAAAAAAAAAAATCACTAAATGCAAATAAATGTAGGAACATGTGATATGAGACTAATTACATCTCCCCTTCAGTTGACTGTGTTACTACAAGCTAGTACAAACAAGCCACAACTTCACAACAGCTGAAAGATTTTCACCAGGAGCCTGCATGGATGCGTCTGTCCATCTAGGAGAGGTTACCTTGAGCGCAGGCAAGCTGAAGCCATCAGTTAGATTGTGTGCCTCCTCTTCAGAGACCTGCTCTTCGCTCAGCCCCAGACCCAGCTCCTTAAACGGGACTACACAGATGTAGCTGGTCACATTGTCACTCTCTGAGTTCAGAGGGTAGGTTTAGCTGGAGTTAAGGTGGTTAACAAAGCAACTTTTGCATTAAACACACAGAAAAGGAAAAAGCACCTAATGAGGTTTCTTATTACTGGTAATTTGTATGAAAGCACATACATTCCACGCAAACTCACCTGAATCCTGTTTAATGGAATGTTTTGCAATCCTTGTTCAGAGCACAAGTTTTAAAGGCTCTTAGAAGGATGAGAGATAAGACACTGACAAAACACCTTTGGCTAAATACAAACAGATAAAAAGAAACAAAACAGACTGATGAAAAATCCCTGCATCTCTTTCAAGTGAGGAAAATATCTTAAAATATTTTCTAAGAAATAGTTCATGTCAGTCTTAAACCAGAAATCATATATTTAACAGAGGAAAGAGGAGAACCAATGTGCAATTTTAAGTTTCAAAGGTAGCCTGTGTTATAGACCAAATTCAGGATGATGCAAATTCCCTGCAAGTCCTGTCTGTGGAGGAACCACCCAGAGATCTCCACAATAACTGCTCTTTTGACATTTCAGACAGTACCAGAACAGGAGCTCCCTGACTGTCACACCATTAATTTTATTGATTAAATTGTGTAAAACCACCATGATCTTGACAGGAACAGTAGCAAACTGTTACCCACCAACACTATTCAGGACGTTTAAACTTGGAATACGAGAATGTGCATTTCCAGTCATCAGAAATGCTTAAAAAGTAGGAAGCAAGCACAATATAATTGATACCAGAAAAAAAGATAAAAATACTTCATAGACTAGGCAGCATTTATTTTAGAATAGCACTAATTTTAGGCTGGGGAGGGGGGAGGAAGAGGAACAGTTCAAGATTTCTGCCCATTTTGGATAGTTACCCCGTCACAAAATAATAAAATTTGCTTTAAATTAGAAACATACACATTACAGTCATAAGAACATTTGTTCCACAGAAATACATAAAAAGTAATATTTGTGAAGCATCCATGAAAATAAGGCCTTAATTTTAACTATGCTTTTTCATTTATATTTTGATTTACAAATTGAAGACTCTCATCTCTTGGGACACATAAAGATGATTACAAGCACCTGTCTCCAGTCCAACTAATGTGTTTTCTGGGGAAGCTACAAGTCCCATCCACTTTGGCTCCCAAATTTTCCGTGTGCTAAATCCTCATAGGATTAAACTTGTAATAATGGTTTGCCCAAGAACATTTTTACCACTTGAGTAAAAGAACATTGCATAAAATAATATTTCTGTGACCCAGAAAACAGCAATACTAAGTGTCCAGGCACTAAACAAACAACTACATTTCTCCGTAATTTCTACCCTAAATCCAGGAAGAAAGAAGTTTATTAAGCTTATTCTCCAGAAGCCTGAGTACAGACAAAAACCTGCAAGGCAAATCCCTTAGAATATATTGTTGCCATCAGCTGCTGCCTCACATAAACACGGGGTCTATTCTAAATTAACCTGACAGCAGGCCCAGCAGATGGAGCACATGGGACAAGGATGGCAACTCCCATCAGAGATTGAAAAGTCATGTCAAAACCCTTCAGAGCCAGTTATCTCAGGCCAGTTATTTCTTGTTAATCTTTTCCTGCAACAACAGGAACACTATTAAAAAGCAGTTTGGACACATGTGAATTTGTAAGTCGTGCAAAAAAAATATTCCTAGGAAACCTCTCAAATGTGTGGTCTGACCCAAGGAGCCACTTACTGATATTACGTCTCAGCTAGGAATTCCCAGTGGACTCACACACCTCCTGCCTTGCCCTCCTGTATTGTAGCCCTCCCACTCCCATTTCTATGTGATAGATGAAAGCAGTGAACTGATCCCATGCCCTATTAGCTTCCTAAGGACTAAACCTTTAGAAAGTTTAAACACACACACACAAACATACACATATACACAAACATACTTCCTTCATGTGCTTTGCTCTAAAATGCAGACGTTTTAGTGCTAATGTTTTCTATTAAAGTGAAAATACAGTAACTAACCATAGGTTAGTTATTCTATGTCCTTGTGAAAACATTTTATTCATCTGTTTAACTTATATTCCTTATTAGCTTGGAAGAAGGCAAAGCTACTTAATAATAAACTGTCAAATCCAGAATAAAATATCTGGATCATGAATGTCTAACCTCTGTCAGGAGGCTGATCTTATTTACCCACAGAAAAGCAAGAACAGAACACTAATGTACTACTGTACATAACAATTTAATATTTGTACTTCGCTCTGCAAAAGCACATTCCCATCTGAAAATCTAACAGGAGGGTCTCACAAAATCCCTGAGAAATCCAAGCTGCTCCTTTACAAAATTCTCACCTGCTCACCAGGTGGGAAGGGATGAGCTACGTAAGCATGGGATAAACTAGCTGGTCAAAGGAGAAACATCATACTGAAAAATACCCAAGTATCTTTACTCAGACCTCCCAGCATTGCATTTCTGATTTAGGCTTTTATGACCCAAAGAAGATACTACTTTTTGTTTAGCTTACTGTTTTCTTGTGTGAGCTTTCTCTTTCCCAACTTAAAGATTTGTGGTTTTTCAAATATTTCATGATGCAATAACTAAATTTTTACAGAGAATGAATAATTTTTTACTAGATTTACTAGAGGAAATTTGCAAGTTTCCCTGTGCTCAGTGCATCTCAAAAACATGGAATGTATTTTATACGCATTTCACCTTAATTGGGTAAGATATCATTCAGTTTAAAATACTTCTATCCAATGTCTGCGTTTATAACACTATTTATGCCTTGTCATCAGAGAATGACATCTTACACTTACAATAAAATTAAAGTTTTTTTCAGTTTATATGGTCCAACACCCAGGTCTTACCTATCAAAATATTTCAATAAAATGGAGTATCACACCATCTTGCACCAGCTGAGGATAATCAACATCATCCAGTAACATAAGCTACCTAATTTCCTCCATCCAGTTTGCACATAATTAAATCACTGAATAAACCATAGATTTCCATAACACAGAACCTACAAGGCTCTAGAGTATAAAAATATTAAGGAGCTAGCATGCCAACTGAAGTACTGCCTGAGTTACTACACAATTCAATGGAGTGCAGTGCAGAGATCTGTTGAACTAGTACTGATTGGTCTGCACAACATCCTGTAAATACTTAACCCAAAATGCCTAATTTCTAGTTTAAACTTTTGCCATTGTATCCTGCTATAATCTTCCAGATTCAAAGAGAAATACTCTTCTCTTTTCTCTCTTCTGACTTTATTCTATGATTTCGAGCAATGTACTCTTTCCGATATGAACAAATCAGGTTAAGAATGTTATGAGAAAATGCTGAATTGTTTCTATAGGTACTCAACTACCCCTTCACACAAAATGTAAGGAATATGACCTTCCATCTCATTAAATTACTGGTCCACCAAGTTTGATACAAATGCCTGGTGTAAGGGTAAAGTATAATTGCATCTTTTTTCTATTTTACATGGGAACAAATTTTAATTAGGAGAGAATTTATTCTACTCGCTGAAGTCAGCTGTATAGCTAAAATATTACTGAGCTTCTTACTGAAGCAAATAATGACAACATATCAGTTCATGCAATTTGTATTGCCATGGATAAAACTGTGAATTAAGATTTTTAACTCTCTGTAACATGTTCATCAGACAGACTTCCCTCTAACACATCTGAGATATACATTAACATAAAAGCCTAATTTGCTGCAGGTATTTTGGCCGGAGAAATAATACTGATGGTTATAAAATCTACACCTAATGGATTAGCACAGATCAATATGACCCTTAACAATTAAGATATTTTTACTAATTTATTGTTACTTAGTCGCTCATTTGTGTCTCCAATTAAGATTAATACTTAAATTGGACAGTTTTTAAGACTCAGCCCAACATTTACCAGCTCAGCCCCTCAAGTATATTTTCTTCCTTTTCTCTCTTGAAGTTGTAACAAAGTGGCTTAAGTTCAAAGCAGTTTCCCTTTGGCTTCCAATAGGATTAGTCTTAGTGATTCAAAGTATGAATTTGAGACTTATCTCAGAAATAATCAAGTACATTAAAGTATATGTTTAGCAACCTACTCAAGATTACTAACAAAAAAATCTCTCCAGGCAGTGTAAAAGAGAGAACAATAAGATTTGCAGTTTGCATTTTTTGACAAGATGAGATACAAATCTATAAATGTTTTTAAGATTAAACATTTTTTTTACTTTACTGCATAGTTTTAAAGATCTAGATTGTGCTTATTTCTGAACACTTTTTTGACTTAACATTACATGCATGCAACCTGTCTTAGAAAACAATTCTTAAAAGGCTGTTCAGCTGATTTTGTTAAGCACACAATTTTCAAAGTAGAGAAAATTATCAGTCCTTACTAAGACATAAGTAAATTGATTTTGTTGAAATTAGTTTTGAAAGGGATATTCTGACATAGTAAGCTTGAAAATTTAGCTTGAAAAATTCAGCTGCAGATATTTCTAAAAAGTTCCGAATATATAAGAATGTTTTAAATGAAAGCTTCAATCAAAGTATACCTTTTACTACATTAGTAAATTTAATACCATTTTCTACAATAATTTAACCATTATATCTAATAATAGGCATGTCTCAGTTTACCATAGCCTTAAGGCAACAATTATCTTCACTAAACTCTAAACTTCAATCTCAGATTTCCATGTTTATTTTAAGAAACACAAGGATGAAGGAAAATAGGACATACTTCACATTATTATCCTTTTGTAGGCCTGTATACCACTCTCAGACTAGGACCTTATTTTGATTACTAGACATCACACAGAGAGCATCTCTGGAGTCAAAGGCTCACTGCTGTTGTTGAATGACAAGTATCATGCCTATGTTGCAGCATCAACTGAAAACTGTCAACCAAGGAAAGCAAACTGTAATATAGAAGGTTATGTCCCATTTACACATGCACCTAAATGTTTCCATGAAATGCACACTCCATGGTTCAAAATAGGGTCTGTCATATGTATTTGCTCACCCTCTTAAGAAATTACTACTTCCTTATTCTTTAAAGAGAAAAATCACCCAAAAGAATGATCAGCCATCAGTTAAAATGGAACTAAGATTTGATCTTTAGTGTACTAGCTGGGAAGATTGAATTTTTATTGCCGTTGAGACTATGAGGTGTTTCACATATTAAATTTATACTGAAAATTGTTCCAAGTGAAAATAATTCTGTTTTTCACTTGCTTAAATACAGAAATACATCTGCTCTGCAACAAAAATACAAAGCAATATCCAGTAAAACAAAAAATATTTATTTAACCAGTATTATGACTAACCTGAGAAAATAGGTTTTAGGGGGGTTTAATGTAATCTTCTAATATTAATCCAAATTTTAAATATTTGGAATGTTTGTCCAGTATCTTTAATAAAAGCATTTTGTTTTGCTGATGCCAGCGTAAATCATTAACAGTGCTACTGGATTCATGTCTCTCACAATGTGCAGAAAAAGCAAATTTCAAAAAGCAATTCATACTCAACCTAGAGGAGTTAAAGTCAAGAACATCTGATTTTGCGCAAAGCAGAACTTACTAAAAAGAACTGTAAAAGTCAGAATTGGGACCTCACTTTCAGACTTTGAATGGGAGTTCCTTTTCTTTAATTTATCAACATTCCTTTCCTTCAATTTATCATCTCACTTTATTTAATCTCTCCAGTTCCTCTTTCTCCTTGCTGTAGGCCAGATTTGTGCTACCAATCTGATGACGGACAAGGGCATTAAAGTTGTCACAAGTGGCAGCTGTGAATGCTTTCGACATGAAGGAATCTTTGTCCCCTCCAGCATAACAGTACTATTTAATTGCACAAGGCACTGGAATCTATTTGAAAGATGCTCCTTGCCATCAATACCCACGTAATACACATAACATTTTCAGGCATTCATGATACGCAGGGAAAAATTCAAACTAAGGCAACTTGGAATTACCTTAAAGATGTTCTTAATTATCTTGGTGGAGAGGACGAATCTTTCACTCACCTTCCTTACATTTAATTTCCTTACTTTCAATTTTCATGCACTGGAAAATTGGCTCAGCCTGCATCTCAGCTCACATGCTACCACTGTTTTTGCCACTACATTCTGCACAAATATAATGCTTCCCTTTCTATCTGTCAAGAACTATATACACATAACTTCAATAAATTTTGGCAGTTTATTACTGATGGACCTTACTACTGTGACACCTTTGTGAAAATTTGGCATAATGCTGCTTGCATCTTTAAAACATTTCAGAGACAGATATAAATGTCAAATTATCCAAAGTAAACAAAACTTTACTTTCTCCCATTCCTTAATTTAAGTCATTCCTTAAATTTAGTAGTTACAAAACTACCAAACTTAAGGACAGTCTAATACATGCCAATATTCCTTGAACCTGTAACTTCCCCTGCCACAGCAACAATCTACACACCTGTCACAACCACTGCTGGACTGACTTCCCTGATGCTGGAGGATATTTGGGAAGGCCATGTAACTGATCCTGCTTTCAGATCTCTCTTCTCACGTTCTTAGAAGTGATTCTTGATTATTTTCAAGGTAGGTATCAATTGCTTTTATCAATGTGTCTGAAGCAGTCAGAGTATCTTTTTCTTTCTTGACATAGCAAATACACCTTACTCCTCAGAGCTAAGAGTGGTCTTGAGCCTAGAATGAGGATGCCTATCCCTACACAACTTACTATTTTGCAAAGAAATACTAATTTCCTTCAAAATGAATTCATGCACCTGTAGCTTTGTGTGCCTCTGTGTGTGTACACATCATCACTCAATATATCCATCCATTTTCCAGGCAAGATATATTAGTCAAATATTTTCCAGGAAGACAAAACAAGTAATTTGCTATGTCGGATTTTCAACTCTCACATTACCACCAGCTTTTGTTTCCCTGCATGTGTTTTTTCAGATCAGGAACATATCTGTTTTAGTCTTTACCATAATACAGCGTGAAGACATTGTTATTTCCTATATAGTACAGTATAGTACAATAAAAACAGAAAAAAAAACTTAAAATGGCTAGTGCCATTAAGGAAAGTATATAACTCACTGAAGAAATACAGATTACACTTCACAAAATGGAATCTGAACAAAGTGTTCTGCTTTGATTCAGAGTAGAAACTCCTCACTCTTAATGTGCTTTTTGGCTAATTAATGTGATCCAAATTTCACTCAGCTTGTCTGAAACAGGTAATCAACTTACCTTTGAGGAATGTTGAGTGGAAGGTCATACTGTTTAGAGAAGAGAGTATTTTGGTGCAAGGGAAAGAGGTGGCTAAGAGGAATTATAAAACAAAAGTCCCAAATGACTCTGAAACACATTATGAGTACTCACACCAAAGACATGGGTGTCAGTAACTGGGACAATGTTTTCAGTGCACAGAATCTTATCTCACACTGCACAGTACAAAAAAAGACAAAGATTTAAAGAATGTTCCAAACCAAGCAGAAGTCCCAGTTTACAATGTTACTTTTAATCTTGTTTAGATATGTAATTAGATACTGTATGTTTCTAGATATCTAATTCTAAACATTGTCACAATTACAGGTAGGAATCATGGAATATCTGAACTCACAGGTTTTTACAAAAAGGATATTTTTTCAGCATGTATAGAGTAGCCAGTCTTGAAGCTCGAAAGTTGGCTCTGACAGATCGATAAACAGCTTTCCGGAGACCAATAAGATGCTGACTAGGATGCTGTCCAGCTTTATTAAATGGGCAAGCGGCACTGACCCTGTCAAGCAAACTTGAAAAGTAAAATGTGATACAACTGTACAGATGTCCTAAAGTATTTTTAAAAGACAGTACATCAGATTTTCTTACCCATTACTTAGAAAACTTTTTCAAACCACCCAGTAACTATGAGAACAAAAAAAATTCCATCATATTAATGACATATTTAAAAAAAATTTCAGGTAAGCAGCCAGGATTCCTCATTAGACAGCCTGATTCTGTTCTCATCTGAGCCATGGCAAAACTCCTGAGGATATTTGTCTTCTCCAGTTTTCCAAGATGATACACTAAGGCCATAACATTATCCCCGATACAAAACTATCAGAAGCGCACTGTAAGCTTTGGAAGTTTTAACACACAGATATTTAACATATACCTCTTTATATGCAAACTTGTTCTTTAAATAATTCTTGCAGAAAAAAGCGTGCTACTACATATTGCTCTTCATGCAAAACACTATATTCTTTCAACCTTCTCCATGCAGAATCTTCTCTAGGTCAGCAGAAATATTATTTGATTGGTGACATAGATTTTATCATCATGCAATGAATTACAGCTGTGTTTATGGGAGTCTGAAAGGTAACATAAGAAATGTAGACAACTCTAAAAGCATATCTGAAAATATATTTTGGTGTCCATATATTCAGAGGAATGCACCATTTAAAAGAAACTGTGACATTTGCCTAATAGAATATACTTCCAAATGGCTTTAAAACTCTAAGAAAATTGCCTCATCTGGAAATGAACTGAATTGTGAACTAGGTGAATGTTAAACATGCCTGTGCAATACTGAGCTGTAGAGAAGTAAAAAAAAAGATTAATATCGTGTTACTTCTATTCATATACAGTCTGATGCCAAACCTATGACTGCAACACTGAAAACAGTGCATTCTACTTGCTGGGACTGTTTTTACTAGAATCAACTCAGGAATGGATGTAGTGTGGACAACAGGATGATGAATTGTGATTAATTGTTGGCTGGACTGGAAGTCTGCTTCTGCTTTCACCTTTCCCAGGGTATGGTGAGGAGGTGATTTCATGTCCATAGTCACTTAAAAGGGAAAAGCACACAGGGTATCTGGCAAGACTGAGGTGGGTTGCTACACTGGTAACTATTTCTGCAGCCCATCTGACCGAAGAGCTAAGCCAGCAGATCTGACCCTGCTGGAAAAATGTCAGTCCTACTGCATGTGCATAACTGGACTGAGAAGGGAGAAAAATTATCACCTTCACTGTCAAATATGAAAAGCAATGCAGCCCACCCAGTGAGCAAGGCTGGACACATATCAGTATGTTAAACATGATTAACACGAGGAGATTCATACCAAATACTGCAGTAAATTGAATATGCTAGCTGAAATACCCTATTAAAATATCTGTGTACCATATTAAATTATGTGAATTATGATAAAATGGTTTATATAACATCTCAGAAAGTACTTTAAAATATGAATAAAACCAAACTGTGTTAATTTCAACTTCTAAACATAAATTTAAAATGTTAGTCTTGCTATACATTCCATAGGGAACACACCATGTAATACAGTATGTGCCAATCTCTAACGTTTCCCTAGCTTTTGAAGTTAAGAACTGGAAGTATTTATTTATGGATAAACTCTCACATCAGTTTGTAGACTCAAGACCCGAGTGAACTGTCAGAAGCAGGCTCAAAGAAAAGGAGCAATAACTTTCTACTCTAAAAAAGAGAGAGATATCTATATTCTGCTACAGCAATGTAAACATTTCCAGCTCCTATACAGAACAAATATAGCACAACTCATGTGCAGCATGTACTGCCAGTATTCAGCAAAATGATTTGCTTTACCTCTCAGAAGGCTTGTTTCAGTGGTTTTATAAAATAATTCTTTATTCCAGTAATCTAAATTAGTATAGCTTGCTACAAATGTCTATGTGCCAGACATGCCATATCCCTGACTTTCTTATGTTCCATTTATCTTCTATATATTTTATTTGGACTCATGCAAAGCTGATAACATTTTGTATGAGCCACAAATAGCAAGAAGAAAAAAAGGGTGAGGGTCAATTTCCTCTTTCCTACTGCCCCAAACCAATTTTACTTGTAAAGAACAGTGATGTATTTCTCCATTAATCTCACAAGCCATATTTTAAATTGGCTCTCAACTTCTTAAAAAACTTGTATAGACATGTTAACAAAAACCTATTACTGCACTCCAACATGAAAGCAGTTCTATAAAGATGCTATATATACACCAATATGTGATTGTAGAGCTTGATTCTAGTTTAGAAAGGAAGCATTTTGGAGAGAAGCTCATTATTTCAGTGACAGACAAGGAAATAACTACTTGGTGCTTATTGCTGCAGCCTTTCATTAGATATTCCTACAGTTTTTATTTTATAATATGCAAGACAACGGACATACTTTCATTACCCAGTGGAAATCCCAGGCTGCAGCTGGAGATCAGGCCTCATTTGTCTAATTGCAAATGAAGCAATTAGACAGAAATACTGCCATTCTGCCAGAGCAGAGCACTGCCCTACCTTGGCTACACAATCTCTGCAATCGAAACCACCCTGGTGAGGTATCGGCCATCTCTGCATCGCAGAGCTTGTACCATGCAGACATACCTGAAACACTAACAGCAGTGGTAAACACTTCTGAAGGCCATTCTGAAATCAGAATATCCAGTTGCTTTTGAGAGCAGCTAATATAACGGAGGCCTGACAGGGTTCTTAGTTCCTTTTCTAAGGTGCTGAGGGGTTTTTGTGTGGGAGGGGGATGAAGGCAAAATGATGCTTAAACTAGTTAAGCATATAGCAGTCACTACCACACAGCAGTAAACCAGTGAAGCTGTGGACAACTGACCAAAATTTCATCAAGAATAATTTAACATTTATAAAGACAGCCAAATATCAATTAACAAGGGACAAATAGGGAAGAATAAAGCAAAGTCATAGATATTTCAAAGCATATGTAAATCAATCTACAAGAACAAAGCAATGGATGGTGCAATGGGGAGAAAAAAACAGCAGTGGAACACAAAGAACTTCAGGCCAAAGCTGCAGACCTAGGCTTGCCATATCAGAGTTTGGCTAAGTACAGCTAGCCAAAATCTGAACTCAGTACTATTTAAATGTCAGCTTTGGTATCTTTCCATTCACAATATGGTTAATGCACAGTCCAAACGTAGCTGAGCTAGCAGCATATTAAAACAACAGCGTACATATCATTGAACAGGCTGCTGTGCTACGTGGTTGAAATCCCATTCCTTCAAGAATGTAAAATGACATAGGAAGGTACTCAGCAGCTTTTCAGATGCAATCATTTCTATTGCCATGTGACTCTTTCTGAACAGACATTAAGACTTTGACAAGGTTACTACAAGAGAACATACTAAACTTTGTTTTGCTAAGGTTTACTGTGACAAAAATTCTGGAAGAAAAAAGGGGTAGCTAGTTTTTTAGATCACACATGAAGTGCTATCACCAACAAAGAATTTAATGGTGCCTTGTGCAGCAGCATCTCTTGCATATATGGATGCACAAAAGGACACTCTGGAGTTACAACTTCCTCCAGGCTACACAAACCAAAACCTATACAGCACTGAGTTCTTCATACCGAACAACTGTTCCAATGAGGATACTGGCACAGTCAGACTTCTCCCACTCCATCCATACTCCGAAGTCTTTTGAAAAGCTTGCCAAAGCTTTAAGTAAAGAGGCTATTAGATCAAGCATCAGCTTGAAGATCAGTCTGGTTTTTGTTCATCTGTTATCTAAGATATGTAGTAAAAGAACAAGGCACCAATGACTTAGACTTTGACCACAAGTTCATTTGCTCAAACTTAGGAAAAAATCCAAATGTTTTTCTTATTTGTAACTTGGACAAGCCCTAACAATAATTTCTCTTAAGCACCCGTTTGCAAAGATAAGACTGCCTATTGCTTAACTATATGCTTCTTCAGCAAAAAACCAAACCAAAACAAAACACATAGCTAGGCAGACTGAAGACATGCTTATGCATTCCAAATGGAGAATGAAACATTTCTTCAGTGAAGCATACTGAAGGTATCTCAAGCTAGAAAATTAATTGAAAATGTTGTCTACTTGTATGTAAAAACGTGCCTGAGTGCAGAATAGTTGGTCTAGCATGAACAATTTCTTGGTGCACACAAGGGAATTTTTTATTGTTTATAGAAACAAATCAACTGGATTTTAACTGCCGGTGCTTCCCACCTCCTTTTAACCTTAAGTATAACTGGCACACATCTAACCATAGGTTGTTACAAGGGAAAAGCACACATGGCAATTAGAGTGCACAGAAGTGGGCCTGTTGGCTTTGGGATCACTGCATACACTGAATGTGTTCTGATGTTCTTCCACTAATAAATAAGCAAAAATTATCCAATAGCTACAAAAGCTAAATAACCAGGAACACTTTCATGTCCCTTAAGGAGACAAGAGGCAAATTCAGAAGCAAATCATATAAGAATCTAAACTTCTCAACAATTGTATGCAAGAGAAAAAGAGTAATTTAAACTTTATTTGAGGTGGGAAATGACCTTTGATGGTCTTTGCTGATTGCTGTGTTGTCATCACTTCAGACTGTTACTTATTAAATAAAACCAGAATGGTTTTCACGTCATTTTGTTTCTAAAATATAAATGATTACTTGCAGGTCAGTTTATTTACATATATTTGGTAATAGATACAAAAAACTCTCAAACAACCAACTCTCTAAGTGACTCCCAAAATAGTTAACTATATTGGTTCAAAATCCATTTATTCATGTATTTCATTGCTAGCAGAGCAGATTTCAAAGGCATGTAAGTTTTGTGAGACTTAATTCTCCTTCAGGATGCAGCGTTTTAACACTGACTTGTTAGAATTCATACTTTCAGTATGATTGGTAATTATACTATTTTATGTAAATAGAAAGCTTTAAGTATTATGTTTTTCAGTAACTCCACTTGTTATGGGAGACAGTGTAACAAGACAATTTTAGAAGAAATCTGACCGGAATGGATCTGTGTATTAAATAAAATGAAATATAGACTCACAGGGTAAATCCTCTGGAAATTACTTCAGTCTCTTGAATGAGTCGTAGAGCTTTCCTCACGAGATTAGTAAAAGCTCGGCTATTCGCCACTGTTTCTTCCAGCTGGATACAGTATTTTTGCAGGGATATTTGCAACTTGGCTGTCCTCCATGTGCCCCACACTCGAAAGACTGCATAGACAAGCAGAACTAGTCCCCACAGCAGCCACGATGATTCCTTCCACCATGAAGGGAGCATAAGCAGTGCACTTACAAAGGCAAGAAACAGCGAGACATCCCTGCAAACAGAGAAAGTATTGTCAACTACAGATTCCTGAGGTCAAACAAGTGGAAAAATCATGAAGATTTCAGTTACATTTGAGATGACAACATTAAGGGGCTTTAATATAGGTCCTGAAGGGAGCTTTATACACCAAAAACTATTCCTAGTGGCAGATTCAGATGTATACATACATGATATTGGTTGGTATACTCTACGGAAATATTTCTCTGACTTTTTTATGGCACAAGTAGAAGATTGATGAACCACTTTGTAAGGTCAGTTTCTCTTACATGTATGACTTCTTTAAAAAAAAAAACAATAGAAAAAGAAAAATCTTGGCTACTCAGCATTATAAGCCAGGGTGTGTAAGAACTGGAATATCTGTACTTCCAGGTTCAAGAGTACAGTAGGGAAGGGCATGTTTCTTTTGGTAACAAAACCCTCAAGTAATGCCAGCTTTATTTTTTTCAGAGTCTGACTCATTTAACTTGGATACCAACACACCACTAGTTTTTAACACATTTTAAAAAGATGGCTTGTATAATATTTTAAATAATGTGGCAACTTTTGAAAATCCTTAAGGAATTACTAGTGGCTCAGTTCAGTTATTTCTCAAGGACATTTTAAAAACTCCATAAAGCTGTTATTTTCATATAGAAAAATTCAACAAAAATAAGTAACTGCTAGAAAACACACCATGTTTCATGTATAGTATTATAGTTGTGGTTTTGTATAATTATGGCAGGCTTCACAGAATTGGATGGGATATGGGCTTCAAGGTGCATAACAACTTTACTTCTTCAGAATTTTTTTGAAAGATAAATATTCACTTTCTTCACTGTTAAAGCTGCATGTCCTGTATTTAATTTTGGAAGTCTTCACAAGGAGTATTTTCCCATTTCTAAAATAAGACATGATCTCTGGGTTTCTATTTTCTGGACAGTTTTGTGGTCATATTTTAACAAGCTTTACAAGTGTTAAGTCTTCAAGGCTACTGATAGGTTTCAGTAAAGGTCCAGAGTTAAAATATTCCAGATAAGCAATTAACTTTAAAAAGGACAGACACACAGTTTATCACTTCCTCGGTACATTAAAAAAAATAAATCACACAAAAAAATTAATTACAACAACGAAAGACTGGAAGGGATTTAAGAGCTCACTTTGTCTGTTTTCAGCTTCTGGTCAACCCAGATCACTGCAGATAGACTGAAGAAGAAAAAGGAGACTCCACAAGCCACCCAGGTAGCTATTTCAACTCCTTAAGAGTTCAAAAGATCTCCCCAAGTCCAGTCTGAATCACTGAGAAATTAATCACATTATTTTCCCTCATATCCTTCCCTTTTCTGAACAGAATAAACAATTGATCACCACCTTCTTATTGACTACCCTCTATACATCGTAACACTGTTCCCTCCCAACTCAATTTTCTCCATTTTGGCCAAATAATCCTAGCACACTCTAGTGTCCCTGAAAGATTACATTTTCTGAACTGATTATTCTTCTTTTTCTGTTCTGGACTGCCTCTAAATTACCTGTGCCTCTCCAAGTGTGGCATCCAAAACCAGACGCTGTAGTCTAACACAAGGCTTAGGGAAACAGACAGAAAAGTAACCCCCTGTGTCCTGCATATAACAAGGACACCAGGATAAGGTTTGCCGTTTTCTGAATAATTTAATGACTCATTCAATTTATGCTCTGCAATGTTGTGCATATCCTTTTCTGAAGTAGTACTGCCTACCCAATTATTCACCACTTTGTGTTTGTTATTTTTTCCTGCTCAAGTGTAGCAGTAGACTTCTGTCTTTATTGACTTTTCTATTGATTTCAAGATATTTCTCTAAGCTACTTTTGAACTTCACTCTGTCAAAATACTTACAAACTTGGTGTCATCTGTAAGCTAAGCAATACTCACAGATTTTGTAAGTGTAGTTTATCATCTGAACAGTTAAAGAAACAATGAATAGTGCTAAGACCAGGACAAACTACTGGAAAAATCTGGTTAATAAGTTCCCTCCTTTGACAGAGAGCATCAATAATGACATATTACAGCTTAAACAGTTGGGTTTTTTACCCTGCTGTGGCTTTATAATATTTTTATCTATCTTCCTAACATAGGTAAGAAAACATAGCACTGGCCTGTGTTAGGAGATATTTTTATCTACTGATTTCTGTCCATTTCTGAAAAAGTCACTCTGTCAGAACACCCACAGTCCTTGTTATTTTTTAGATACAGGTGGTCACTGTTCAGCAACTGCTGCAACTAGCTCCTTCAGTATTGGTGAATTTCACCAGCCTCTGCTGGTTTCAATGTATCTTATTTAAATAGACTGTAGTCTGTCCTTCTGGTATTCTATGTCCAAAAATTAATTGTACGCACCCACCCACCCAATGTATTTTATGAAGATCAAGGCAAAGAAAACACTTTTCAATTCAGTCTTCACAATCATATCTCATTTGTCAAAATCAACATTGTATAGCTTTAGAAATTAATGAATTAATCAACCATGTTCTTTCTTATAGCACATAGTAGGGTTTGGAAGTATCCATTCATGTAGCTGTTCATGTAGCTGTCTCAGACTAAAACTCACTCTTTCAATAAAATGTCCGAGGAAAAAAACGTGCTTATACCAAAATTTGGGGACTAGGGTACCAAAGACTCAAAGACCTGAGAAAAAAAAAAGTTGCTTTATTGCGGCATTTTACATAAAGGAAACACAATATATTTTTTGCTTGTTTCTCAGTGAATACAGTTGTAGATATTCTCTGTACAATACCAAATATTAGGAGTTGCTAGGGAGCGTAGTGTTGGAAGCTGTCTGTTTTCCTGTTGCTTACACTGCCCTGCAGACAGGATACTGGGGTCAAGGAACTCAATCAGTTCCACATCCTCCTGCAGCAGAACTTCCTGTTGCAGGATGGTACGGAGTGTGTCAAATCGAAATCCAACATCCTTACCACAAATGGGCAGGAGAAAAAACAGGCATTAGTGAAGAATATACAAATTCTTAAAACTAAGTTAGCAGAACAAGAAAAGCACCCAGACACTCTACTGACAACAATCTACTCGCAAAGACTGCAGGAATGTTCCACATATATCACAAGTAGCTACTTTGTTTTTATTAAACTTGCTTAACTTTAAAACTCACACACTACCTAACAGTTCAGACTTGCAGGATGCATCACATTGACTTTGTGATGTGACCTAGATAGTAACAATACCTGGAAACATGCCATAGATTATGCCAATATATTTGCGTAAGAATCAGAGAGGTACTATATCTATCAGAAGATCATTAATAAAACAGCAAACACTTTTTTTTTTTAAGCCATGAAATAATTTACATCATTACAAACAAACAAAAATTAGAAAGAGTAAGAGAGAGATTAGAAATCAGTCAACAAAAAGTCACCTGTGGACACTTAATAACAGTAAGGTCAATGCACTGGTCTCAAGCCCCAAGTCAAGGCAGTGAAGTCCTCTCCTGCAGGATTCTGTGCCTTTCCCAAGGGAACTTGATCTAAACATGCAACAGCATGGAACTCTGAAGACCTCACACCTGCTAAACTCCAGGCAAACTTCAGGGAGTTACTTGTGGACTTGATGCCAGGATAAGCAGTTGTTATTTTTTTCCCTACAACCACAGCTCTTCAAGACAAATACACAGCTCTTGAAGACAAATGTATCCATCAGAGAAGTCCCCTGAAATTTTAATTTGCATACTGCACCAAACTATAATTACAGAACACTTCAAGTTAAGAATGTCTTAACAAAACCCAGTAAACATTGAACTCGTGCATCTTTGCATCTAGCCAGACTACAGGAGGGAAAGGAGAGTATTTCTGAAAACCCTCCAATAAAAGCTGTTAACAGAAGTTATGACATTTCACAGTACAAAATTGGTTTAGTTCTGTCATTGACAGAATGAGATTCTTTACAAAACCATGATAGCTAGTCAAAAGTTTAATTCCATACATTGATGTCACTTGAGGTAACTTGCATTCTACTTTTAATGGAAAACATCTGTTTCAGGATGGTGTGCAAGAGGAAACTCTTCCCTCCTCCGATGCATCCTGTGCCATTTCAGTACCCTACTGTAGCAAGCAGCAGGAGAAACATGTTTTCCATATTCTTTGGTTGTGTCTCCATCTCAAGAAAGTAAGGCTAAAAAAAGCTAAGATGACACCTTTGATTCCTAGGGGAAGAGGGAGGAAGGAAAAAGACAACCAAAGATCGTTAATAAGAAGTTTCAGAGGAAATTTTGTCCTCTTGAGATAAGGGAGAAGAGAGCACAACTGTACTCGGCAGAGCTCTCTGAGAAATGGAAACCCCTAACTTCTCATATTGCTCAACTTTTTTCTTTTTTTTTTTAAGCTACATTTGAAGACATCATCCCTACATAACGTTAGAAAAAAATAAATCAAAATTCTAAGTTTTAGTTTCTGGAACAGTCTGACTGTGACATTTGCAAGCCAGACTAGGCAACTCAAGCAGCTGGGTGCAAGTTAAAGCACATCTCAGACAAGCCCAGGCTAGGGACTGAACTGGCTAGAAAGTGGTGCTGCAGAAAATGGGTGTAAAGGCAGCACAAAACTATTTTTAGCTATCTGAGGTAGAACTATCACCCTTCAGATCTACCCCACACAGGCTGACTTCAGCCCTAATAGTTCCTGCAGGCTCCAGGAGTAGGAGAATACAACTTCTGGTGAGGTAGATGGACACCCAGCTGGCTTCTGAACTGCAGAGAGCACATAGGTAGTACAGAGACCTGTTCTTGCCTCTCCCTACAGCCAGGCCTCTACACAGATGTCACCTGCTCTTAATAGCAATGCTGTTCTGAAGCACTATAACGGAGGTGCCTTAGTTTGCTTTATTTTTGCCAGATGCAGATGAACTGTGGACAGCAGTGCAGAAACAAGTAGGCCAGGACGGGTCCAGGAGTAGTGGAGCTGCACTGTGGAGGAGTGGTGAAGGTGAAGAGGGTGAAGCAATACTCAGGTAAATCTCTAGAGCCTTCTGTCTTGAGCTGTGTCTGCACGGCATGAGGCTGCAACATACGGACTTTCTCAGTCAGAGTCTCCATGCTGCCTTCCACTGAAGGGGGTAGCTAGGTTAATTTCTTTCAGCTTTCAAGAATTTCTTTAATTTCCCACACATTTTATTTTAATTTCTCTTCCACATTTTGAACATCTTCAACCTGGCTACTGATATTGTTCCTGTTCTTATGTGCCCAATTTGCCTGGCACAGTGGCTCTGAAAACCAGAATCAATATTATATGAAGAATAAGTAGAACTCTTAGAGCCAAAACCAACAATACAGACCAAAGATGGTGCTCAGAGGACAAGGTATGGAGGAGAGGAAGACTTGTGGATCAGGAAAGGAAATGGGAAAAAAAATAAAGTGATCACTTACCAGTCGGTGAAGTATGTCATCATTTTTCTTATACTGTAGAAAAGGAAACCAACTTCTAAAGAACTCAACTAGTTTTGACAGGATGCCTTGCTGAAGGGAACAGAAATTACACCAATTAAAAAAAAAACAAAGCCAAAAATAAATAAATAACAGACAATTCATTTATTTCTGCATTTGCTTTTCTTGTTAACTCTGACTTAAGTACCTCTAAGGAAGTTTCGCTTACACTGTCTGGCCTAACTTCAGAGTATGCTAAGGGAACATCTGCTTCCCGTCAGCTTGCCTGTATACAAGCACGTGAAATAAAGCTTTCAATAACCCCACCTATTTGGAGCATAATGGATTGTTATGTTGTACTGTTAAAAATAACTACAGCTAGAATTAGTTTGATCTCAAGTTAGCAGCTACCACATCAATATGAAAGACTTTCTCTCTCCTTGAGGATAAAATAAACAGGTTAAATGGCTGACAGGGACAGAAAAGTAAAAGACCAAAAGAGGAACAACCTCTCTTCGGTAGGCCACTGCAGCTTGGGGACAAGGCTCTGGAGGATTTGTGAACAGAGACAGGGAAGAGTGACTGTAAGAAGAGAACTGTCCCAGAAACTCCCTTCCCCAACCAGCATGTGCTATCAGGTACTTTATCTCCATGTTGTTTCCCATGCAACCTAAATCTACACTTTCATCTGATCTGTAAACAGAACTTTGAATGCCACTAATTAGAGGGATTCCTTCTCAGTCATCACACGTTTTACTCCTGTATCTTCCTAAAATGTGGTGCATGAAAGACTGTAATTAAATACATGCATGATTTTGCTTTACTCTGCAGCCATTCAATGAAAAAAAAAAATTGAGTTTTTGACACACACTATGTATCTATTTTCCTAAGACTAGGCTGACAGGAAGTATTTTTCAAAATATTTACTTACACATTTCATGAACTCTGAGGCCCTACCTCTTAATCTTCAGACTGCTAACTTCCAGACTGCCGACATGTAATACAATCAAACGAAATGCATGCAAAAAAAAAATTGTGGAGCACTTACATTTTGTGGCATACTGTTTCAAAATAAAAACCCCAAAACCTAAACAGATTATAATAGCTTAATGTATAAAGGGAGTCTGTATTGGATCAGATTCTTCTGTCTCTCCCCCTTTGGTTTTTTTTCCCCCCTTTTTTCCCCAACTATAAAGATAGGAAGCAGAAGAGTAAAACTAAGTGACATGAACTTGGAGCTTTGTGGTTAGCCCTGTGATGAGCCCGACAGCCCTCTGAAAGGCAGTGTGAAACAAGTTTGATGTAGCAAGCCAGGGCAGAAGGGCTTTGAGTAACATCAGAAATTGTCATCCTAAATCCCTTATGCTTCAACAATTTTTGAAATAACTTACTTTAGCATCCATTTAGGTAACCTAACTCAAGTTTTTCTTTACATATGTCTCATCTTTCTATGTTAGAAATTGCAGACCTATGCCAAAATGAAGTGTTTTTAGGTCAGTGGAGAGACAAAGCAGTAATAGGGGGTTTTAAATGATAGCGAGCTATCCCAGCAATCCATAGTTCTTAGACTGGAATAAATCCAAGTGATTGTACTTTGATGTTGCTCAAGAGCACTGACATAAGATGGAACAGAAGTTTGTCACAAACTGCAGCACTAGGTTATCTTCCAAGTTTCTTGTCAAGTGATGCAAAATAAAACAAAATTTTCCCATTACAATTTGTAGAAAATTGAGATTCAATAAAGGTCCTTGCTCTGCATCCGAGCTGCAGACAGATACTTCATTCAGAAGTACTTTTACCTGTACTTTGAAAGAATTTCCATTTACTATTTCAAATTATGCTTCTTGGAGCCTACCACTTTCAGTGCTTAGCTTTCATAAATCTGGGGTTTTATCATCAACATTTGAACCTATACCAAAGATAATTTCAAACTGCTACCAGCTGAGTAAACTAGACTGTGGAATTACTGAAAAAACCCCCACACTAGTGTGCTACATAAGTAATATTTTCGTTTACTTTCCATGCTTCAGTTTAAAAATAAAAATCTGAGCTTGCATAAACACTCAACAGGCATGTCAGTGCTTGAAAACACAAAACAAGACAACCCACTGTCTTGGGCTGTGACCCAGTACAGTAACACATATTCAGATTCTTTGAATAGTGTCTCACAGTTTGCATTCCCATTGGGAGCATTACTGACAAGTAAAACAACTTTCATCAACACACAAGTCAGGTCATGTTGCCAGTGCTTCTGGAGCATTCTTCTTACAACTTTAGAACACCACTCAGTCAAACTCTCTGTAAACTTAATAACAGAGGTGTATAACTCCTAACATTAAAAAAAATAGCATAGGACATGTACATTTTAGGTACATTCATTTGAATCTAAAATAAAATTCTAAGGACTATTTGTCTTGTACAGGATGAACCTGAAATGGCAAACTAGCAGGTATCTAAAATATTAGAATTCCTATTGGCACCTTCCAATTCTATGCACTTCAGAAATAAGATACTACTAAATATTAAATACCTTCCAGCTACCCAGAGCTCGCATTAAGTTGGTGGGAGCCCTAGACAAATGCAAAGGACTAGCCCCTCTGCCTTTCCACATCAGACCACCTGCACAGCTACTGAGGGGTAGCCCCAACACAATCCTCAGTAGCTGCCTCTAGCACCAGCCCTGTTCTAGTGATGAAATATTATCACATCTAAGATGGGTTAAGGTGTGACAGTATAATAAATTTAAATGTTCAGATACGCACAGCAGTCCAGGAAAATCACTGAGAAAGGAAAAATGTAAATGGGAAGAAACACATTCCTTAAAGATCAAGTAGAATTATGTAAATAGGGCTTAATTCCAGAAAACAGGTCTACAAGTTCTTTCAAACAGTGATTTGAGTACCAAGTGATCACGAGATCAGAAGTTTAGCTGTAACTTTCCCCAGAGATTGGTACAGCCAGAAACACTGCACATATAATTATGGTACTAAATCACATCTCTGTACTCCCTCAGATGAGAGCTTTGCATTTCATCAGCCCTCATAGAATCACAGAATCGTCTAGGTTAGAAAAGACCTTGAAGATGATCCAGTCCAACCATTAACCTAGCACTGACAGTTCCCAACTACACCATATCCCTCAGCGCTATGTTGACCTGACTCTTAAACACCTCCAGAGATGGGGACTCCACCACTGCCCTGGGCAGCCCATTCCAACACCCAACAACCCGTTCTAGAAAGAAATGCTTCCTAATATCTAGTCTAAACTTTCCCTGGTGCAATTTGAGGCCATTACCTCTTGTTCTATCACTTACTACTTGGTTACAGAGGCTCATCCCCAGCTCTCTGCAACCTCCTTTCAGGGAGCTGTAGAGGGCCATGAGGTCTCCCCTCAGCCTCCTCTTCTCCAGACTAAACACCCCCAGTTCCCTCAGCCATTCCCCGTACGACCTGTGCTCCAGACCCTGCACCAGCTTCGTTGCCCTTCTCTGGACACGCTCGAGTCATTCAATGTCCTTTTTGTAGTGAGTGGAACAAAACTGAACACAAGGGGCCCAAAACTGAACACAAACCTCAGAACACAACCCTAAAGGACCTTTACAGCTTTACAGCACAACGTTCATTAGGACCATGCTCTGATTAAAAAAACCCCACCAAAACCACACACACAGAGAACTATGTAAGATGTGCTTTAAATTCAACCGATGCTTCTGCCTTTTGTCAAGCCTGAAACAAGCTCTGCTTAGCAGGACAGAAAAACACAGCAGCAATGTTGTATCAGTCATCAGGAACCTCTTTTTATTTCAGATTTGTTTTTTCAGTCCCTGAAGATCCCAAACTACATCTTTGCCTTGCCAAAATCTTGCTATATGTCACCATATCTGCATCTGCAAATGGTTCCTACCTGACTGAATACAAAAGGAGTAAACAATCTCAACTCAAAGAAAAAGAAATACTGCAGCTTTTCTATTTTTCTTTTAATAAAGTGTTTAAGGCATTTGTAATCTTGCTTTTCAGAACAGAAGAAAAACGATATACACATACTAGGCGTCACTCAGCATGAATCATCATCTACTCCCTGTGTATTTTGCATTACACTAAGCCTCAACTAAGATCATTTTATGTTAGAACTGTGGGTAGGTACATATTCAGAACTCAGAAATCATTTGTTTCCCAGACATTTTATGACTTCAGTAGGTTAAGGCCAGTGAAGGCTGAGAAAAGGGAAGTGATAATAGTATGTAAAAATGATGAAATGATTGGATGGGAGTGTAAATGATTTGCCTGTATGTCATACAAAAGTTTCAACAAAGCCTCAGATACTTCTAAGTCCAGTCTACTTCAAACGTGTGGCCAGCTGCCTCTCCCTCATTCTCTTTCCTACCAAAATGGCACACAGAAATCAAATGACAAAAACCAGACTTTCCTACATCAGAATACAAAAGAAAAGTATTAATGTTCCCAAACAGGTACTGGAACAGCAACAGGAAGTATCTATGACATTTTATCACTAGAAATTACACACAGGTTTCTTCCTTATTTCCACTACATATCATTGTCTAGACAGAGATGAGACAATGTGAATGTCATCCTAGTATTTGCAAGACACGGACAGCCCATTTTCACACACCCGCTCCCTTCAAGGTGCAAGGCAACCCATGACAAATTACTTCTACATCTGACACAATACTGGAGGACTTGCTCCCGACACAACAAAACCAAGTGCAAAATGCTTGAGGGGAAAAAAACAGAATACCTGAGGCTTTTAAAAGCAGTATATCTTAATATTTTTGAGGTTCTTAACCCCACAGCACTTTTGTAATAAATGTGGTGGAAATTATATACATGAACACTGCATCATACTGCTTTATTGATTTCCACAAAAGTAATTACGCAAAATAAAGTAATGCAGCTAACAAGTGATAGTCCATGCATTACTTCATAGTAATAAACAGATAATCAGCCAATGAAATATGTCACCTTAATTTTCAATTAACAGTGATTTAATTAAAGTCTTCCTGCACTAAGCCAGAATAGGTTATCTTCAATGTAAATGTACCACAAAACTGCCAATAGCTTTAAAGCTATTTTTTCAAGTAGTTTCTTGAGGGTTATGGTGAATGCCAGCTGCCATTTCGAAAAAGTAAGGGTAGCAGGCCTAATATTTCCATGAATACTTTTAAAGGTAGTCTAAATTAAATTATAAAAAATTGTGAGGTAAACCCTGAATTAAATTCAGCCTTACCTTGTGCCCGATAGAAGCAATCATTATTACAAATGTAATAGCTATCCACATCAAGAGTAACTAGAAATCAATTTATTCACTAAATTTAAAATAATCTTACATTAGAGAAACCAGCCAAGGAAGCATGGAGACACTGCAAGAATCACTTCTCCTCCTCCAATCAGTTAATCTGTATTCTGGGCTCACAAATCCCCAGCACACTAGACTAGAGTTCTGTATGAAGGTCCTTCATAATCTTTTCTACATGATTGCTGAGCTCTTTGAAAAGCTTTAAACTCTACAAGAACACTGCTGAATAGTACTAAACTTGGGGATTCTTATTACAGTATGATTTTTTTTTACAGGCTGTCTAATCCATGTGGTGGGCACGCAGAAATACTTACTGGTCTACTCAATGGATATGCACTCTGCATCTTATCTACATGGTCATCTTTGACCAGAAAGTGGGGCATGAGAGAAAGGAGACATAGCACACTTCCACAGGACTGACTACAAGTCTCAGAAACTGCAGACTGAGGCTGTGAAGCAAAGTGTGCAGTGCACCTGCCCAACAGGTAAACACAAACTCTGCCCAATCTATCCATGAAGATAGAGTCCAACAGGACTGAAGACCAAAGCAAAATGTTTCATGTTTTATTATCCTGTCTTTTCAAATGGACTGATGAGTGTGTGAGGAAGCTTATATATTCTATACAAAGAAGGGTTGAAATTAATATCACTACATGAAAATATGACCCATCAAAACTTCTCTGAATACTGTTAGATGAATAAGCTTCACACTGCAACTTCTAAATTTCCACTTCAAAGACTGTGCATGTCAGTCCTTTCAAATACACCATACTATTGCAAATATTTCAAAAAACGCATTCTTCCTCCAGACCAGAAAAAAAATTGACTGATGTTATCCACATCAATTCACACACTTCTGAATCCTACCCCACCTAAGATGCTACACAGGGCAGAATAGATTAAAAATGCCACAAGAAAAAAAAATACTTCTGACCTAAAACAAGGGAGGAACAAGAGGGACATGTACAAAACTGGAAAAATGTTGTTGAAATAAAGCCTAACTAACTGTGTCTATTACCCAGCTAATTCCTTGAAGCATCTGAGAACTGAGTAATGGATATACATCAAGATGGCATTATTTGAGAAAAGATCCTAAGAAAAGCATCAGCTTTCCTCATTTGCCATGTGATCCCCCATCCACCAAAACCTGTAAGGAGACCTTCTGGAGATCTCAGGACCACTCATATCATATTGCCTATGTTTGGGAAAAACAGGATGCTCTCCCCAGTTCACTGCCAGCCAATTGTGAGGGTGGAACATTGTAGAGCAGAGAAGCAGCAGAGATTACAAACAAGAGGAAAGGGGTTGTGAACCTCTGATTGAAGATGGCTGAGGTATAAATCAAGAATGAACAACAGGAAAACTGAACTCCAGTGGAAGGTTAAAAGCCACAGAATGCAAGAATCAGATGACCTAAGGTGCACAAAAATGGAAACTCCATTTTTGTGTAGATATGGGGAGAGAGGAGAAAGAAATGGTAATTCTTCAGAGTCAACACATCAACCCATGAATGCTTGGTTTGGGTTTTTCCCTGTGAGTGCTGCCCGTCTCAACCTGCAGTGGCCAGGACAGAGAAGTCTACATGGAGGCCTCTTTTTTCCCCCTGATTTAGCACATAGTGGATCATGACCACTGAACTCTCCACTGTGGAAGTGAAAGAGGTAGGCAGAAAATAACTGCTCTTTGCACGCTCTATCTAGGTGCTATGGAAAAGACAGACAGACTACTGAATTGTCAATATACTTGTTGCAAAGAGATTTCTACATTAGCTGCCTCAGGAGAGGAATTTCCTCACCCATACTACGGCTCCTTGTCTGAGTCACACTGCCTGTACACTACCAATAACAGTAAAATACCATTTAATTTTAATAAGGAAAACAAAAAATGTGTAGGCTGTAGTAAGTGTTAAATGGCCAAAATCTCAAGCATAATTTTAATAACAAAATGTTCTAAAAAAATCCACAAGTCTTTTCTTAAAATGAGAGAGAAATAAGAAGTCTGAGCTAATCAGTTGATGATTCTTGTCAGCTGTTACTGTTAGAAAATTGCCATAACCTAAGACAGTTCTCCTATCTCATTCAGATTGGTTATTGTATTTATACTTCCCAGAAGTCCTCTTTTTTAATATGTTTTGTCACAGAGTAAGCAATATTTAACAACTGAATGCCAGAGAAGGGCTGGGAACTATAAATATTCTCTTCCAGAAAATTACAGGTTTTATTCCCAGAACATCCTGCCAAGCTCACATAATAATATCCAGTAAATAATATAAAACACAAAAAATTCATTGTCACAGACTCTTGCTTCACTAGCTTACATAAGTGCAAAGAAACACTACAAACTATACTGGTAAACCATGCATTTCCAAACACATATGTAGATAAGATATGACAACTGGTTGGGGTTTTTGTTGTTGTTGTTGTTTTGTTTTCTTTTTTCAAAGAAATATATGTTTATCCCCTCTGATTTCACTTATTTGTGAAGTAATGTGGTTGTGAGAAGAGAAATACTCACAAACAGGAGAGTGCTTACTTTCTGGGCAGTATGCACAGTCTGCTCTTTCTGTCTTTCCGCTGCTGCACATTGCTCTGCCTTCTGTGACACAGATGAACATACTTCAAAATCTGTGTGTCCCAAATCCTGCAGATATTGGTAGAGTGGGGAATTCTGAAAGAGAGTTAAATAAGGAAAGTAAGAAAAAACAATGTTAAAAATCATTCCCTATTTCCCACAAAATACAACTGCACAAATATAGCGACCACACAACTAGCAATGGATGGACTGAGAGCAGCCCTGCACAGGCCTTTGGGATAATAGTGGGTGAAAAATTGGACATGAGCCAGCAATGTGCACTTGTAGCCCTGAAAGCCAACCATATCCTGGGCTGCATCAAGAAGTGTGGTGAGAACCTCTGGTGAGAACCCACCTGGAGTACTTTGTTCTTCTCTAGGGACCCCAGCACAAGACAGACATGGATCTGCTGGAGTGGGTTCAGAGGAGGACCACGAAAACAATTACAGGGCTGAAACACCTCTCCTGTGAGGAAAGGCTGAGAGAATCGGGGTTGTTCAGCCTGGAGAAGAGAAGGCTCTGGGGAGACCTTAGTGTAGTCTTTCAGTAATTAAAGGGTGCTTATAAGAAAGATGGAGACAGACTTTTTACCAAGGCCTGTCACGACAGGACAAGGGAGAACAGCTTTAAACTGAAAGAGGGAAGATTTAGATTAGCTATCAGGAAGAATATTTTCACAGTGAAGGTGGTGAGACACTGGCACCGGCTGCCCATAAGAGCTGTGGATACCCCCTCCCTGGAAGTGTTCAAGGCCAGGTTGGTCAAGGATTTGAGCAAGCTGGTCTATTGGAAGGCTCATGGCAGGGGGATTGGACTAGATGGTCTTTAAGGTCCCTTCCAACACAAACCATTCTGTGATTCTATGCAACTAGAAAAAAAATCCCACAGTTAATAGCAAAGAAGTCAGAATTTTGCTTTAAATATCCCCCTAAAGTTTTATCCTGACCATAGTCAACATACAAAATAACGTAATGAGAAATAAACATGCAACCAGTCAAATCTTCCCACAGCAATATTTCTTCTAGGTTATCTGATAGGGTTCTTTAGCTTATAGCTTACATAAATAATGTACTGGGTAATATATTTTAAAATATTAATGTGTGACTTCTGAACACTTAATTACAGTTTTCCTAAAGTTTATAAAAATTGAATAGATTATACTTTGAACCACTTCTACTGAAACAAACTTTAGAGCACTTTTCACACTTCAATAAATGAAACCTCAGTGTAACCTGACTAGGTACCTACAAAGTGTTTTACAGAAATGGAAAAACAAATTAGAAAAAGGCTTCTGCTCTCTCCAAGGATGGTACTAGCACTTCTGGCAAACGAGTATCAGAGTTATTTAAAAAAACCCCACAAAACAAAAAAAGACCCAACCCAGCTTTTTTAAGCTGCTGGCAAAACTACTAATTTACAAAAAGTCCTTAATAAAACTTCTTAGAGAAAGTATGGAATTCTGATTCCCAGAAAGTGGGTTTTTACATGTTTAGACAGTTATCTGTATAGACTTCTGAAATTTCTTGTTGTCACCTACATTAGATATCTAGATTTACTTAACTCTTATTTTTCTGTTTGCAACCACAGTATCTAAGACAGATTTGATGGAAAGGACATTTATGCTAACTCCAGTTCTACTCAGGACACGTAAAGAGACTTTTGTTTTTAAGAAAACCTATTAGCAATCAGTCCTAAATAGCCTAGTTAGTCTGGGATTCATTCTGACTTCCGAAAAATTTTATCAACACGCCACACTAGTCTGAACACTAACAAACTGCATAGGAAGACTGCAATTTTAAAAATCATAACATACTATCAGTAACAAAAATACTGTAAATAAAAATTAAAAACTACAGTAAATAATGCACAGAAGTCTGCAGAAACAACCACCAACAAAACATCTACTACAAATTGTTACATTGACTATCATGAACTTTCTGGTGTAAATTGCAAAGGTGATCCATCCACTACAACTATGTACCAACATGGCCAAATCTCAAATGACTGCTTGCCATACCATAAAAAACTTGGAAGCAATCATTGTATTAGCTGAACAAATTAAACTTGTTACCTCTTGGGATTTTTCTTTTAACCCCATCACCAAAGTACTATATGCAAAGTCACACTTTTGCACACTCTCCTTGAGTTACTCACAACACATTCAGGACATTACCTGAAACTCAAACATTCCTACCAACTCACAGGTACAGACAATACCCCTCACCCACAATGAAAATGATTGTGCAAAATATTAGCACAGGTTAATGACTCACTTCCTTCAGGGAATTTTTCCAGCATGACAACTCAATCCTATCTTTTTTCTAAGTACTCGCCCTTCATGGTTAGACTTCTTTTTCAAATGCATCTAACTCTAATTAAACAATGTGCTGTTCTGGACTGCCTGGAAAGAAGGTATGTTTCTCCTTAAGGATAACATGACATTTTACCAGAATTACTTAACTAAAATGGAAAAGAAAACATAAATAAGTATTCTAGTCTATTAAGACACTATAAAATTCACTTAACTTCAGGACAAAACTCAGAATGCAAATGGATATGCATGACCTTGTCTTCTTAAAAAGGTTTTCATACAGAGCCAGGCTGTGCACTGGAAGAGCACCTGGAACAACCTGAACACTCTAACATAAGAGGCTTTAGGGTAGTACGGAGATTTCAGCCAGAACCAGCCAGAATTTTTCCCATTTAGATGAAGACACATAGACAAAACAGTGAGTGAACAGAGAATGTTTTATTCAAAATTATAGTTTGATGCTTGCTCCAGGCAGGACTCCAATGAAATCATATCTAGGCTCTTGGCAGACCTGTCCATCGTCTTGATCATACCGGTCACAAGCAAGGCCAGCCATCATCTGACACATGACTACTCTTGTACTTTACTGGTACTCACCTATACACAGACAGCTAGCAAAACAAACTAAATATACCATGGAGTTTTTCCACTATATCTCAGGGTGAACCTTGATTTGGGGTCCATGATGAGATAATCTTTAAAAAGCTCATCAAGAAAACCGGTCTAATGCTGCTTAGATTGGTTCCATTTCCCAATAAAAATGGATGAAGAAAGGCAGAGAGAGACAGATGCTCTGTCCACTGAAGACAGAATTAGCTAAAATCCTGAATGCTACATTTAGTAAGTGAAATATTGCATAGACGCAAGGATGACCAATTCTCCCCTCTTACTGGGTATTTGGCAACAATAAAACCTTCCATCTAACTGTAATTAGTACATTTTCTACTCTACAGAAATAGAAAAAAAATATCTCTCCAAATGTTAATGAAACTTTAGTCCCTAGCTAGGATGGATAATTCTATTTGTTCTTGTAATGGAGGTGGAATACAGACACTTTACTAGGTTTTACATAATTCCTTTTGATTCACTTTTTGAAAGTTTTACAGGGTCTCATTATGGGTAGATCTGCAATTGTTCATCACTGCTCAGAACCAGAAATCAGTTTTCTGATTATTGAGTTAGCAAATGATCACTGATTAAAATTTAACTTGAATATTTATCACATATTCCTTCAAGTACATAAGGGTTCTCCTCTTTCAGTTTCTCAGAAAGTACTCTGGCTACAATAACCATCCTTTAACACATTTCTTTGGCTCCACATGCTTTCTCTTTCCCATTCTTTTCTAAAAGATTAGTAATATAATCTAAGTGCACATTGGAAAACATTTTTTATTAACTCAAATGACCAAGAAATATACTGTGACTAAATTCCCTTATGCTGTAAGTAAAATCACATTGTTCCCCGTTCTGAATCCATTAATAGCATGCAATATGTGGGCAAAGAAAGCACTGAATAAAAAGTGTGTTGAGGCCTTTCTGAAATTAGATTATTAAGAACCTTAATGAACCGAACATAAAATTCTCCCATTAAGAGTAAGGTCTCTTGTGTAGCACACTCAGCTGTACATTTTGCTCAGAAAATTTGAAGATTATACTCCTACCAGAAATATCACTGATGACATATATACATTCGCCTGTGCTGACAAACACACACGATTTATTTATTTACTGCTCAGCTTTAAGTTATACTGACAAACGTCACCAGTAAAGCTGTTTGGTCTGTATAACTCACTGATGATGTATCCACCAGTCTACAGCAAATTTCTTCTGGCTAGAAGATCCAGGAAAAGAATTTTAAAAGGTTGAAGGGTAGATTTTATGCACATGAACATAAAAGTTCCAATATTATCAAAGAATCAGAAAATTAATAACGCAAGTTCAGAATTGCAATAAGATACCATTAAAATATCCTATTCTGTATACTGTTTGATTCAATACAAGAAACTAAAGTATTATACTTAATGCTTACAAAGCATTTTTCATCTTCAGAGAGTTTTAAAACCAATAATTAAATCTCATAATGTGTCTGATATCCCACAAATTATAGCTCTGGATTTCTAGCTTACATCCTTACCCAAACTTCTCACTCCTACATTTATTATTTCCCATAAAAAAGACCACAGATATGCATATATTCCTGTATATGCACTTCTGTCAGAAAAGTTCCTTGGTTTCAATTCAGCCCGTCAATTCATCAGCATTGTCAGGCTCAGAGGTTTTCACCTGCAAATGCACTGATAATATTAAAAAAAAAAAAAAAAAAAAAAAAATTCATGCCTTCTTTTTTTAAACAGTCCAACATTAAAAAAAAAAAAGCAACTTATTTTACATTTCTGCATATATTATAGATACTACACTTTTAGTTTAAGAAATTCAGAATATATAAGAAAGTTTATCCTTGCAAGCAGTAATAGGCAATTTAAAAAACCTATTAATTTAGACTTGGGAGAAGCTTTTATGTTAGGATGTGAAGTAAAGGGACAGTAAGGTTGTTTCAGTGGATGGCATGAAAAGGAAATTTAAAATATAAAATCTCATCTTCCTAGCAATACAGCATCATATTATTCTGGCAGAATCTATTTCCATGTATTTATGAATCTTTACTTTCAACCACTCTCAGAAAATAACCAGAATAGTTACTATTACTCATGTTTGACAATCAGGTTGGTTTATTTCTAGTTGTCTCTGAATAACATGGTAATGAA